AGAGGAATTCTTGAAATCGAGGCAAACAGTGGTTCCCACAAATTCTTTTTTCTGATAAGCTGGTGGTTCTAGGAACTGAAGGTGATTATAGAGATTTTGTAATAGATTAACACTCTTAGAGGACAATCAAGTTGTTGGAAGCTAAAATCTAAGTTTATCTAGTGTGCTTTTATTTTATTATTATTTTTTGTTTTTGTTTTATTTTTATTTTTTTTCTGAGCAAGCCAATGATAGTCTGCGTGGGCATCAGAATATGTATGCTTGTGGTCAGAGTTTAAACTTTGTTTTAGCTTTCATTGTATTTGTATATTCTGCAACTATTCTCGATGTTTTAATACACATGTTAATGCTGCGCTTGAAGAAGGGGCATTGTCTTTTGTACTATGTAATTCCAAGAGATAAAATATCCTGGTGAATTTCCAGGATCATCCCTTTTGTTCCTCTGACTTTCATCCCTATGCGCATATTTCCCATTCCTTCATCTAGATTACTCGTTTTATTAATCTGACTTCACTTCCGGCAGAGGTGATCGTGCCGCGGATCCTTGCTGAATTATGCGGGCCAGAAGTAACGCCAACACAGCACCTGGAGACACAGCAAGCACTTGTCAAGCAGTTTGCGGAGATTCTCGAGTTCACGCTCAAGTTCGACGAGCTGAAGGTGGGTTGCTTTGTGTTTCTTAGGTTTGCTTTCCACCTGATTGAAAGTTCTTGCAGGTTTTTGGTCTTAAGATTTTTGCAAATGTGTGTTTGGTTCTTCCTTCCTTGTGGCATTTAGCTATCTTTTTGATGGTGGTGCTTTATGGCCAACTTATTAATAGAAAATAATAATATATTGCATTATGTATTGAAGGAATTTTATTCTATTTTACTAGATTTGACATGAAGAATTGTATCTTTTCTTATGGGAAGTGCAAGATATTCTTGATAATTTTTGTAATTTTTTACAGCCATTGTTTAATATGTCTTTATAAATATTTGTCTTGCAGACTTTAGAAAATTAGAAATTTGACCTAAGGTTATCGGTATTTTGTAAACTGTATTTGAAATTGTGAATTTTGAGACAACAAAATGAAAATTATGCATAAGGTTGCAGATTTCCATTACAGTATCATTGAAATGATCCTTGTTGTTTTTTACCTTGTGTGTTCTACATCTTTCATTGTGATAAATCTGCATATTAGCCTTAAATACTCCTGTATTAATTAAAAACCTCTATACTAATGATTTTATTTCTTGCCATCCAGATGACAACCCCAGCCATCCAGAACGACTTCAGCTACTACCGACGCACAGTCATGAGGGGGAAGCTGGAGTCCAACAACGGCACGGACCCAGGCGAAGACGATGTCACCATTGACCACCAACTAGCAAATAAAATGAGTCTCTTCTATGCTAACTCCACGCCCATGCTTAAGATCCTCAGTGAAGCCACTTCGAAATTTGTAACCGAGGTGAGCTCAGAGATGTGGGAGTTTTGTGTATTAGTAGGGGAGGAAATGTGGACTGGTTAAGAAAGTCATTGAATGAGGAATACAAAAAAAATACAAAGATGTATATACTTAGACTGCACAGGCCCTTTTATGTATTGTTATGCTATTATTATCATGCTATTTATTAAAATTACATTCCTATATGCACATATATGTCTGTCTTCATATGAAACATTTGTTTCATCACCAACACTCTATGATTTTTTCAGCACAAAGAGATTCCCCTGGAGAATACTACAGAGACCCTGGGCACCATGGCCAAGGTCTGCCAGAGAATGCTGGAGAATCCGTAAGTTGCCCTCAGTGTCTTGAAATATTTGCACTTGGTATGAATTAAAGTGTTTCCTTTGTTGTAACTATAATGCTTTCATGAAGTAGATGTGAATATTGTGTCTTGTTGAATAACATGTTTTTGCATTTCTTGTTCTGTGTATTTATGCCAAGTGTGAAAGTGATATTTAAGTAAGGGAAATGTGATGAAATATTTAAATAAAGGAATTTAATTGAAATGTGTTGCATGGAGATTATCTAAAACTTTCAACTACTGAGAAACATCCATGAATTCACTTTTTTTTTTTTTTAACTGAACAAATGATTAATGAGGTGCTGCTGAATTATGGAATCCATAAATAAGAATATTTCATCTATTTGATAGTCGTTTGAAGCTCTTGATCCTTAAACATGTATCCCCTTTATTTCAGAGACTTAATAGCAAGATTCAGGCGGGAGGAAACACAACTCTTTATCCTCCGCGTGATGGTTGCCCTCATCATCCTGTACGACCATGTTCACCCCCACGGTGCTTTTGTTAAGGCTTCCAATGTTGATGTAAGTGAAATTCTCGAAAGGTGAAACTCTATTCCTTTGTTTAAAAGAAGAGAAAGAAAAGAGAAAGAAGAGTTTGGTAGTGTAAAAGTGTTTGTTGTTGTATATTGCTTATATTGTTATTTTGAATCTATTTTCTTTGAGGTTTAGAATGTAGTAAAGGTTTGCTTTAAGAGAATAAGATTATTAGCCTTAAAATTGCATAACTGAGAACCAAGAACAAAATAAGTTTTTGCATAATTTATAACTAGATATACATGCACAGTATTTCTTATAAACAACTCAGAACTCCCTGTGCCAATGCTGTATGTTGATTTGTTGATCAAGTCATCACAGACGTTACATTTTGGAAATCAGATAGGAAAAAAAAAAAGCCAAAATAATCCAAATCATCAATATTATATGCATATATATTTTTGATGTCTCTTGTGATCATGGACTCCCTCAGCTGCAGTGTTCAAACAGCCGTCATTCTCCTAATAACTCTGCCTCTTGTCTCCCCCCCCCACCTTCAGGTGAAAGGTTGTGTGAAGGTTCTGAAGGACCAGCCTGCATCCAGCTCAGAGAACTTACTTAATGCCCTCAGGTGAGTTTGGAACCAGTGCTGAAATAATAGACAGTCATGTTGGGTTCCCTTTGCAAAAAATTTTTTTTTCTTTTTCATCTGCTTTCTGTTTCATATTGGGCAGTGCTTACTTTTTTGTTGAAATATCTTGATTAATGTTGTCAAAGATTTCATGATGTTAATTTCAAGGTTTTGAGAGTATCAAGAAAATATACTCTTTAGTTATTAGTTATTGCAAGTTAGAGGATAATTGCTGATTGACTTATTAATTTCAAATTCCTTGTGATTATTTGTTATCAGAGCTGTTGATATAATAGTTATCTAAAGAGGAAGTAATAACCCTCATTGTTGTGTTCCTGCTTTTACAGATATACGACCAAGCACCTTAATGACGAGAATACGCCAAAGCAGATCAAGACTTTATTGTCGGTATAACACCACAACCCTAGTATTATGTAGATTGGTCAGTGGGGTCGACGTGTGACTCCTGTTGTGTGTTCCCTAGGCAGACACCCACTGTTTCATGCATATCTCTCTTAGGGGAGTCTAAACTAGAATGATATATGAACTCTTTTGAAACATGCGTTTGTTTTAGAGAGGAGTTGTTGGGATGTTTCTTTATGAGTTTTTAAAGAAGAAGATAAGAAAAAAAAATGTTCTCATTTTTTTTTTCCAGGATATTAGATAATAGAGCATTTATAATGTATGAATTCCCCCACTTTTTTCACTTTCTGATCCATGGTGAATTATAATTTCCACTTGGGTCTTTATGAATATATCATCAATATAATCATTTGATGTTGCAATATTTTGGTGTCCGATAATTGCAGATACATTGATATCCAGAATGAAATACTTCAGGAAGGAATACAAGATTTTATTATTGTTACAACTTACAACTGACTCACATATTGGAAATTGCTGTAGTGGAATTGTCTGTTTGGAATATGAGTTTAAAGTGGTTAGGTTACCATCTGCTCAGTTTATAGTTTAAGAGTAAATTACTACCAAAGGTAGTTGTGTATATAATAAAGCAAACCTGTGTTCATTCAGTTATAGAAGATAGCCCCCCCCCACCAACAGTACATAATTACCTCATGTACGCAGATCATATTTCTAAGAATACCAATGGAAGGATTCCGTCTCACAGTGGACTTAATTTCTTGCCCCTGCTTTTGGTTGGGACCTGCCTTGAATTGTGCTCTTCCAAGTCACAGCAGCAGAAACTGGACTAGATCTTGGAGTTAAAATTGTCTGAGTGTGTACACAGTAATATGATTTATAGATGAGAGTATCTTAGATTAAGAATTAGCCAGTCACCCTTGCAGTGTAAGGCTTTGGATGGATATAGGTATTGCAAATCACCCCACGAAGTACAAAGACTTGAACAGAGTCTCGTCATGAAGCACAAAGAGAAAGAGCATTGTGCAAGATGCTGCATGCGTAATTTTGAGGTCTGCTTATGTGAGGAGGAAGATTATGCCGGCTGAACTGTATCCCAATGCACCAACAGCATTTAGATCTTTGTCATAACAGTAACAAACTGAGTTAGTGTTGTATTTTTTCACATGCTTTGAGTTTAAATAATTATACTTTTCCAAGGAAAACTCTACTTTCATTGGTCTTCATGTCTAGTGAAAGTTGTATTCAACACTCATGTATATAGATATAAATAATCATATAAATATATATATAAAGAGATATAGTGCATTGTTTATAAGTCATACAGCCTCTGATATTATAATGACTATAGTCATTGTTTACACTTGGAAAATTGTTTGTGATATACAGTATAGTTAAAGATTTCAGGAAGAAAATTTCTCCAATGTTAGTCACTATTTCTATAGAGTAGAGACCAAGTTCGTTTATGTAGTTGAATTGAGAGTTGAAGGAGAACGGAAAGGAAATCGAGCTACTTACTGTCTTTTGTAAAGATCATTCTTGGAAGAGATTTCTTTTTTTTTTTTTTTTTTTTTTTTTTTTTTTTTTTTTTTTTTTTTTTAATTATTTGGATAATATAGTTTCAATATAATGTTGAGTTTATGATGTTATCAAGGCTTATATATATGGGTTATCTAGTTTTTATGGATGCTTTTGATATTATTGTTACTGTTGTTCTTCACCATTGCTACTTACTCTCAAGAACACAGCTCACATGCATTGGTCACAAAGGTTACTTGAAGCTTAGCAGAAAAGTTTGAATTCTAGGACAGTAGGACCTGTAATTTTACTGGCGTGCTTCGGGCGTATGGTTTTATATCTATGAATTCCTCAAGTAGTCATTACCCGTCACATTTTGCCTGAAATAAGTCAGCGATAGTTTTAACTCTCCTATGGTTCTTCAGGTTGTGAACCTTTCCTTTGAATACTCTCCACCTCTTGAAGTCTGCCCCGTGGCTCGGAACGGAAATTTCTTCCCAGGGATCGATGTACGTTGATTTGCTAGTCTGTCATAATGAAGACCATAATTTCCCCCATCCCACACACTCCGAACCAAAGCCTTGAATTTAGTGATGGATATTTGCTGTAACACTGCCATCTTGGCCTATATTTGATCATGTACATTGAGCAATATATTGGTATATGATGGGTTTCAGCTGAATTTTATAGGGATAGGCAGGTTTTGTATTTAACATAGGTATTGATTTGGCTTTGTACAATGCATTATACAACATTTACAAAGAACACCTTTTTCCACTGGAGAATTAAGCTCTTCTCGTTTTACAGTGCACTCAACAGCACAAATAGAATACAGTTTTAAGCAGGGTTCTGTAGTCTCTTTATACACAGGTAACTTTTTACATAGTTCTGATGACTATTATTGCATACTTTTTATTGTTTTCTTTAACAATTATAAATGTTTAGTTGAGTTGTAAAGTAAATATATATGATTTTAGAATAAACTCCATTGAAGTATGTATACAGATTATACAGCATAACACTTTTTACACTTTTTTACTTTTCTACCTGCATTGTTTTTGTAAAAGAAGTGCGAGGGGGAGTGACGTGGGACTTTCAGAACAGCTGATATATAACTCCTGTAACACTGTTCTTATCACCCAACAGTTACATACATCCTGGTGATCTGCCTTTAAATCCCCCTCAGTGTACATAATCTTCATTTAGAAAATCTTTACCAACAGTTACATGTTAATCACCAAAAAGCATACAATTAGAATCCTTTTTTTGTCTTATAACAATTATGTTTTGTGTGTATAACCTTACAGCCTTAGTATGGTATTCCAGATATGTGGTAAATATATTATTTGATATGGAAATCCCTATCATTGAATATCTGTGTAACATCTTAGATATTTGTGTATAACATGTTTCATACTTTTATCCCATTTCCAGGTTTTATTATCTCATGTAATGAACTTTTAAAAAATCAAACAAGTAAAAAGAGTATAAGTTGGGTGATTAAAGAGAATTTGTTACTTCTTATAACTTGTTTGGGGAAAAAAAAGGAATTTGTGGAAGTAAATCATTAGAATAACATATATATCAGTATTGTCCGTGTCGCAGTGTCTCTGAAAGTGTATACTGAAGTGATTTCACTTAGTCACTTTACCATAACCTGTATGACTAAGTGTTTGAAAAACAGAAGTATTGTATAACCTGCCACAGGTTAATAATGGGCCTATAGCCAGCAGTGTATGCCTCTAGTTGGTGTTTTGTGACATGTACATAACGATGAGTGTTCTCAGTGTAACCAAAATCTTCTTGATGAGGATGACACTTAATCTCTAGAATATGAAGTGGATTATCTGTAGGAAAGTCATGTTTATTCCTATGTTTTATTCTTTTTCCATTGCAATTTGTAGTGATGCAGGGTGGGTGGAAACTTTTAAGATATCATAGTGAAGCATTTTTAATTGATTGCTGTAATTTTATGGTAGGATGCATCCAGGTAAATTATGAAATAAACTTTGTATATTCATAGGTCTCATAGACCCATGACGACGCAATTTTTGGTCTGGTGCAAGAAGAGCAAATGTTGCATAGGTATGTGTGTCTAATTTTATTAAACATTTGTTTGAGATATGATGTTTTATTGTCACATAAGCTGGAATTCTACAAAAGCACAAAATCATAACATGATAGGTTTCAAGCTGGAAACAAAGTTATCTATAACCATTTTAAAACACAAAGTCCACCAAAGTCCTTTTTATTTCCCTCTCTTCTCCAACCCTTTCTCCTATCCATATCCTAAAGTGTGAGAGCCATGTTGACAGGATGAGTCTGATTTTATGCCAGTCATGAATGCCTGGGGGAGCCATGGGCATGGTAATACCCAAGCTTAATAGTCTAGCCCTTAGCCCTCAAGGAGACCTTGAGGGATGGACTGTATCTTCCCAGCATACTCTAGGCTTACTATGGCCCAAATTGAAGACTATACCATTATTAGGGGCAATAAGGCTTGCCCCTTCAACAAATAGTCCTGCTGATCCAAATTCTCCTGGTTACCCAACTCCAGGCACTCCTTTGACCACGACCTTGAATACAGCTACTACTACCTCCTCCTCAACGCCTGCTGTCACATCATCCACCCAACCTCCAGGAGACATCCCTCCTCTCCTAACATCCTCTACTTCATCTTCACTCCCACAACTTCCTTCATCAACTACTCCCTTATTACTACTCTATAACCCTATTGTCCACCTCTCTGCAATACTACCTCTCTCAACATTACCCCCTCTTCCTTACCACCTGTCCTTCTACTACTCCCACCTCTACAAACATATTAAATACTCTTTTTAGCCCAACCAAATGGGATCAATTTTTTGTGATCTCCCCACAGCTCCTTACTCTGACGACACTCTCCTCTTCCAGCAATGTCTCCAAAGACAATTTGCCAAGTTTCCCTTCCAGCCACTCCGATTGATCCCGCCTCGTTACAGTTACATCCGAAACCTAAGCTAAAGCATCATCAACCCTGACAGACTTCACTGTCAAACCCATTCCTGCCAAAATCCCACCCTCAACATCTGTACCGGAACTGTCTCCATCTCCCCAACAAACTGCCTTGTACGACCAAATTTAGTCAGGTTGTGGAGAAGACTTACTCACCTGCCTCATGGACTATGATGCAGTATCAGTACAAGGCTACACCATTCTTCCTAGAGGCCGTCGCAATCCCCCCACCAATATTGCCAAGATTACCTTCTGTAGACATGACATCCCCTTTGATGTTTACATTGGCGGAGAATTCCTCTCCGTCCTACCATATCAACCTCTCCTCCGTCAAGGTCAGAATTGTTAGCATTTAGGTCATCCTGCCAATCATTGCCGCTCTACAGCTCGATGCCCTTTTTGTGCCCAACCTGGTCATAATCATCAAACTGCTCTGCACAGTCTCGCATGTGTGCCAATTGTGGCGGCTCCCATAGGGCATTTTATAGGGGATGCTTTATCTAAAACTTCTACCCCCTCTCTCTCCCAGTCAGATTTTTTTGTCATTCTAAATCCAGACACCCTAGTCTCCACTATTCCAGACACTTCAATCACTACTTCCCCAGTACCTACCCCTCTTACTCCTTACCTAATTCGTTGCATAAGAAAAGCATCCCATCATT